CTGACAAGGAAGAGGGAGGCTCCTAAAGAGCAGACTGGGCAGAACAGTAATAAGAGTGGAATCAGAGGGAAGGGCACGTAGGCAGTTTTTGTATTGTTCTTACAAGTTTTCTTAAAGTTTGATATTATCTTAAAATACAAAATTAAAACAAAAGAAATGAGCCCAGGTCAGAGTTTGTGCTCTAGGGCCCACCCATCAGTTGCTTGCCCCACACAGGCTTTAAAAGAATAGGAATTTCTTGCCAACATTGAAACACCGGGAGGCTCTGCTTGCACAGGGAACTCAGCAGCTGCACTGAGGGGCACTTCAGTAGGCAGCAGTCAGAAGCAGCTGTGCTCTGGTTTGGTGCCTGGACCCAGGAGCCAGAGAGCCTGTGATTTCTGACTGTTTCCACTCTGCTGGGTCTGAAGAACCAGACATGGGCTGGGGCCTACCTGGCCGTCCTGGAGAAGAAGCTCCAGGCCTTTATGATTTCCTTTGTGCCGAGAGCATGGGGATATCAGAGTAGATGCTGCTGAGTAATGCATGAGGAGGCTGAAGTTTTTGGAGGCAGAGGTCAAAGCCAAAGCTTGATGAAGGGCTAGAACCCGAATGTTCTGTCTCCAAACGCTGCTCTTATTCCTCACATAGCACCTCACACAGCACCATTGACAAAGGACAGTCACAGCCATCTGTGCATGTGGTTTCCCTGAGGGGTAGGCAGGGGCCTGGGCCCCCACTGGCTTCCCCATTGTACAAACACAAACATGGAGGCTCCAAGACATGAAGTGACCTGTCCAGGATCACAGGCCAGACATGGCTGGGCCAACTGACTCAGAACTGGAGTAGTCCTTCGCCTTCCTCCAGGCTGACACAGCGTGCAAGATACCACAGGGGGCTTCTGCACTACCACGAGGGCCCTGCAGGCACCCCTATCCTGGCCTCTCTGTGTTCCCTGAGGGTCATCTGACCAAAAGGCCCAGCAAGGCCTCCCAGCACAGGGACAGGATCTGGGGTGTCTGGTCATGTGCAAAAATGAGCATCCAGAATTCACAGCACTGGGGAGAGAGCTATCAAGGAACCCCTTGGAGGAAGCAGGCTCCTGCAGGCTGAAGGTGGGAGGAGCTGGATGGTGGAGAGAAGGTATGCAGTCCAGAGAGTGGGCAAGGGTAGAGAGTTGAGATGAAGGGAGAGAAAGGAAAACGGATGCTTTGACACAATCTTATGAGCTCGGGCTATGCTCCCATTTTACAAGTGAGAAAATGGGGGGCTTAGGAAGGCTAAGAAGCTTGTCCAAGGTCTCCCAGCCAATAAGGGGCAGAGTCGGGATTGGAACCCAAGACTATTTTGCCCTCAGTCCAGGTTCCAGTCAAGGAATGAGAAAGGGAACCAACCCAGCATGAGCACCTATACCATGCACCAGGACACCCCTCTTGTCCTCACAGGTAAACTGAGGCTCAGGGAAGTGAAGCAACTTGCCTAAGGCCACACAGAGAGTTCAGAGCCCAGATCTGGCTCAGCCTGGGCCAACCCTGTTTCTTCTACAATGCAGCCTCTCTCCTCACTCTGGCAGGCAGTGCCTGAGCCTTGAGGTGTGCAGGGCCAGGGGTGGAGCTAGGTATGACCTTCTGATAACCTCAGACGTGGGCTTCTGCCTGCTTGGGTCTGTTTGGGTGAGAGGACTGAAATAGAAGTGGACCACCAGTGTGTCTGTCCTGGTGTCTTCTACCTGTGTACAGCCAATGAGACCCATTAGATCTGTTAGGGTGGCAGGAGTGTGGATGGGTTTTGCTCTTTATTCTATTTGAGACAGTTTGTGTAGAAAAAAAAACAAAACAAACCCTCAATCGACATTACAAGGCTGTCCCTGGATGGAACAAGCACAGAGTGGATGTCACAGGATGACATGTGGATCCCAGGTAGAAGGGGAGTGACTGCCAGAGGTGGTGCTCAGAGCAGGCTTTGTGAAGGAGGTAAGCCCCAGCAGACGGGCAGAAGTTAAATGAGCAATGTAAAAGGGAGAAGGAGGGCCATGAGGAGGAGGGAACAGCTTCCGCAGTGGCAGGGCACAGGAATGGAGCCAGGTGGTTTATAGTAGAGGGACAGGGTGAGCAGGGTGCGGTGAATCCGTGACTTTCACGGCTGGGAGGGGCACTGAACGCAGTGTCCCTTCAGTACTTGGGCCTACTCTATACCACTCCCACCCACAGCCTGTCCAGGCCACTGCTCCCACAAATGCTCGTCTCTCCGGGACCAGAGGTTTGAACCAGGACCACAGGGCCACGTGGCCCGAAGTTCCAATCAGTGACAGGGAACTCATTACCGTACAGGAAGCCTCTTTTGTCCTAGAATGGTTCTTCTGCAACAGAATTCTCTTCCCAGTTAGATTACTTTCTGTTGGGCCAATGTTGCCACTTTCTCACTGTCTTTTCCCATGAGCCCGGGCCAAGCCACTTGCTCCTCCTTTCCCCCACGCAATTGTGTCTCTGAATGTGAGCACTGCTGCTTGCAGTCAAGCTCCATTTCCATCCATCTAATTCGCCTTGCACTCTGGTAATCTCTGTGGGTCCTGACTCTTGCTTTCTTTTTGCCATGCTCCCTGGGCTGGTGTCTCTGGGAACTTGATGGCACACTTTCCATATTGTGACAGGACAGAGCTCCAGGGAAGGCCACTAGATAACACAATCCAAGAATCAGCACAAACTGGCCAAAATCTCCTGGCCTTCTCCATCTTGTCCACAAGGACCTCATGGGAGACCTGTGTCAGCTGTCTCCTGACATCCAAAGGCTCAGAGCCAAGTTCATAGCTAGGCTTTCAGCCAGTTGTATAGGTTGAGACTAAAGCAGTTGGTTCAACTTGAGCCTCTCACCTGTCAGTGCTCAGAGACTACCTATTCCCGAGCTGAGGACCAGTGCTGACCCCATTGTGATCCCACCAGTTTGAGCTTCACAGGGCTCTCCCAGATTCTTGTTAAGACCTGGAATGCTTTTGGCTGTCCCTAGTTTCCTGTTCTTCCCCACTGAAGGCAGAAGTCACTGCCAAGTCTCCAAGGGCCTATGGTCTAAGCTCTCTGGATGGTCTCTGGGACATCCAGTTCCTTAAGAGACATCCTACCACCCCTCCCGAATTATGAGGCTTCTCATTGACTAGAGGGACAGACATAACCCATCCGCTCAGGCCCAGAACCTCCCCTCAATTTCCAATGACCCAGATGACCCACCTGACACACCTGGCCACTGCTCACAAGAATGCTCGCCTCTCTGCTAACCAGAGGTTGGAACTAGGACCACAGGGCCTTGTTGCCCTAAGTTCGAAGAGAGCATTTGAGGATTTCCATCTCTTAGTCAGACCCCAGGGCCTCTGTACTTGCTATCCCTCTGCCTATAATGCTCTTTCTTGTCATAGTTCCAGTTTTATCTCCAATGCAATCTCCTCAGATACGCCTTCCCTGACCAACTAAGATTCCTGTCCTTTCCTCTGGGTATTTATTTCATCACCATGGCAGAATTATCACTATCATTGATTAATCACTATCTGAAATTATGTTATATATTTGCTTGCTTGCTTCTTTACTGTCCATCTCTTGGAGTCTAAGCTACAGGAGGTCAGGGACCTTGTATTTGAGGATGACACATACTCCTTCAGACCTCTGTGCCTTTCACATGTTTGCCTCAGCTAGGAGGACCCTTTATCCAAAACCCTGTTTGGTGGGCTGCTATCCATGCTTTAAAGCCCAGCTCAATTCCACCTTCCCCTTCTGTTCCCTTCTTGGCTTTTGTACACCTTCCTCACTTACACAGTGTGGAATTAGCTGTTTGCTGGTCTGCTGATCCCAGCCTATCTGGGCTGGAGGCTCCTGAAGCCAGAGATGGGTCCCATTGCTTAGTCTAGGGTCAGGCCTAAAGTAGCTGCTTAATGAGCACTGCTGGACAATAAGGCCTTTGGGGTGTTCCTGTTGGAGGGAGGGTGGTCACCTGGCTGGTGCCTTATCTCTGCATGGTCTCCTTGCTTCCTGTCTTTCCCCCTGCAGCAGCCAGTTCACTGTTTAAAACCATTCCAGATAATCCTCATTATACAAAACATTTCCAAACTCCTGACCATGCCCATGAGGCCTGACATCTGGGCCCTCCACATCTCCATCTTGTTCCCAGTCCTCCAGCATAATCCTGCCATTGGGCCTTTGCACTTGCTGTTCCATCTGCCTGGTATACTTTTCCTGGATAATCAGCTCCTGCTCATCATTCACACTTCAGCTCACATATGGCCTCTCCTGACCTCTCCAGCACCCTGCCTCCCCTTGTCCTGCTTTATTTTTGCCCCACACCTATCACCACCTGGAATTTTCCCATTGCCTATCTCTTCTCACTACACCATAGCACCTTAGGACTGAGGCTTCAACAGCCTCATCCCTTCCTAGTTGTCTAGCACCCACCCTAGTTGGTTTGGCTCACTGACTTTTCCCATGAGTCTGGGCCAAAGGTCCTAGAATCAAAGGGTCCTGGTTTCGATTCCAGTCAAGGGCATCTCGGTTGCAGGCTCCTTCCTGACCCGGGCCCTGGTCTGGGGCGTGCAGGAGGCAACCAATTGATGTGTTTCTTTCACATAGATATTTCTCTCTGTCTTCCCTTCTCTTTCCCATATGCTCTAAAAATCAATGGAAAAATATCCTCAGGTGAGGATTAAACAAAACAAAACAATTGTCACCTGACTGATTCTTTCTCATCCATGATTACAGTGGGCTTCAATGTTTGACTTTTCAAAAAACTAAATCATTAGAAGGTAAATTACCCGAGGGCAGGGATTCTTTATCTAGATTCTATTTACTGTGGTGTCCCTAACGCAGTGCTGAGAGCCCAGTAGGCTCAATGCATATTTGCTGGGGGAAAGAGAGGAAGTTCTCACTTGGAGCTGAGCTGGCCAGAGATCTGAAGCCAAGGACCAAAGTCTCCAAGACCCTCCAGCCTCATGAAGGGGACAGAAACCAGCAATGGAGTGAGCCCACTGTTGGGCTGCAGCTCACCTGACAGCAGCATGGGGTCCTTGTCCACGGACTTGCGCACCTGGTCAGACTCTCCTGTCAAGGAGCTTTCATCGATCTTGAGGTCATTGCCCTGGATGAAGAGGCCATCAGCAGGGAGGAGATCACCTGATGGGAGGAAGGTCAAGGGAGTCAGCAGGGTCTCAGGTTGCTGAAGAGGCTGGAATAGTCCCCAAAAGTTATGATTATAAGGAAAGGTTCACTGTTGGACCAGCTTCCTAGAGCTCCCAGGGTGCAGGAACCAACATGGTGCCCATCACAAGCCAATAGGCAGCTGAAGACTGGAGCTGAAGTCAATGGTACAGGCTGGGAGGGTTGAGGTTGGGCCCAACAATCCAAGCTTAGGCAGGCATGTTCTTTAGTTTATTAAGTGCTTTTCTTGGCCTGGTGTGGTCATGAGATCTAGTTTTCTCAACAATTCATTCTCTAGTTTCAACTATGATTTGAGGAATTCTTTTGAAAGGGACTAGTCCATCTGGGCTAAGCAGAGGAGACTCCAGGACAGTCACATTATCAGAAGAAACCAACCCGTGCCCCCCCTTTACCCACCCCGCCCCTGCCCCCTGAGGGCTAAGTGAGAAGGGGTATACTCCAGTCTTGCTTCCATCTTCTGCCTCTGCTTTCCCAAGGATATACTCATCTAAACTCCTTTTGACACCAGCTTGCCCACTTTCTCCAAGGTAGTATCACAGGCTTAGAATGTTCACTCATCTATATTCACTCCCCATAACACCCTCTCTGGCCCAACAACCATCCAACAATAGCCAAATCAGGGATAGGAAATGGACTTCATCCCATAAACCCATTGTGAGTATTAGTCCTTGGGGTATTGTGTTGAGAAGGCTTCTGCGGCTGTATGGAGGCCCTGAGCTGTGACTGATTAGTAATGTATAAATAAAACATCACACTAATATAACTATAACATATCTGCTGGTATTGAGAGTGGTGGCACATGTGCCAAGTATTTGCCATTTCTGAGTTAAATCAATTCTGAAATCTACTCCCTCCAGGAAGTAGCCTTTTACTTCCAAAGGATCGCAGAAGACATCTTGGCTTGGGATCAGCCTTCAGGGACCCTTCCCTGGGCCAGTCTCTTTGGGTCTGCTTGGCCTGTCCCTTCTCTTCTCCAACTCTAGCATATAGCTCTGTGGCTGGGACACTTACCATATTTTATTTGGGCGATGTCCCCAACCACAATCTCGGCCACAGGAATTTGGACCACCTGGCCAGCCCGGATTACGGTGAACTTCTGCTCCTGCTCAATGCGGCTCTGCAGGCCCCGGAACTGCTTCTCTTTGCTCCAATCATTGAAGGCCGTGACCAGGACCACACAGATGACTGAGAGGAGGATGGCAGCCCCCTCAATCCAGCCTGCCTCTGCCTCCCCTTCATCCTCAGACCCAGCCTGGGCCGTGGCGCATCCTGCAAAGAATAGAAGGAAGCAGATGGTGTGGGGTCAGCTAGGCAGATGGGGCCTTGAGTGGTCTGGCTTTAAATCAGCTCTGTCAAGCAAAAAATGTTGATAATCAGATAATCATGAATTATTTATGTAGTGCATCTAGGTGCCAAGCCCTGTGTAAAGGGCTTCACACACCTGATCTCAGAGCACTTACTCTGCCCATTTCACAGATGTGGTAGCTGATGCTTCTTAGAGAAGCCACATGACTTGTCTAAGCTAGGAAGGACAAGTAGGGAGCTAGGATATCTGACTTCAGAGCCTACTGTGGCTTTCTGCCTTTGTTCTACCTGTGAGGTCCTGGGTAATGACTTCACCTCTCTGAATCTCAGTTTTCTTATCTGTAAAATAGGAAGAATATTCCTTATCTTGGAGACCACTCTGAGGGCTGGAATTTAATGAGGTGAGGTCTATGGCATCTCCAGCATAGCCCTGGTACAAAAGAGATGCCTTTTTAATGAGAAATGAGAAAAAGTGAGGATGTAACAGAATGGGGCCAATCAACATTGTACCTGCTTTAGGGTCTAAAATGCAGTTTTGCTGCTGTCCTTTCCTTCCATTCTCCCAGGAACCATGAGGCAGGTCTCTAGGTTGGGGGTAGGAACCATAGCACTGGACCTGCCCTCCGATGAGCTGATTCTAATCCCACTGCTGTCCCTGTACTAGCCTGGGTAAATCACTGTTCTTCCTGAGCTGCAGCATCCTTATCTGCAAAATGGGATTCACTGAGACCACTTTCTGGGCTCAAGGAAAGGAAGGTGGGAGCTGCGACCTGTGCTCAGTCACAAGTTCTTACTTGGCCTTTGTTGGATCTGAGCCCCAACCACACCGTGAGGATACCCACCTTCCATCTGAGTCTGTGTGACCTACACCTCACACCCTTGCTCTGTTGAACCTCCCAGTCTAGGCCCTCAAATTGCTTGAGGCCTGCTGGGCCCACCATGTGAAAAAGAAAATGAAAAAACACCACACACATTTAATGCAAAGACCTCAGACACAAAGGCAGGTCCTGCCCATATGGTGCTGAGTGCTAGGGCCTTTCCTAGCCCTTCCACATACTCTGTCTTCTGCTTTCCCACAGGACCCAGAGAGTGAGTGGTATTTCCCCCATTAACAGGTGAGGAAACTGACACCCAGGAACTGAAGTGACACAGCCAAGGTGATTGCTGCAGCCAGGACTAGCTCAGGTCTTTTATCCACAGGGGAAGAGGGCGGGGGTAGAGAACGGCTCTTTCCATGTCTGACCATCCACTCCTGGAAAACTCAGGGTAGTTCCCATGGGAGTTGGGAAGGCAACTGGGCTATTTGCAAGATCTGATATATGCCAAGCACTCACTTTAATCATCAAGCAGGCTGAAAAAAGGGAAGCAGTTCAGAGAGTGACAGTGATTCACCTGGGGTCACACAGCAGATCTGGAGTTTGAATCCAGACCTGGGCCTAGAATCTGACACGACATGCCCTGACCACTGTCCCTGAACCTAGTACACTCTGTCACTTGCTGGCCTCATGTAAAAAGTAGAAAACATTGCCATAGACCTATGGCCAATAGTATGGAAGTTCAATTCAATCCCAAGGAAGAGAGAATGTCAGTTTTTGCTGTTATTTTTGGTTAATCCTCACAGGAGGATATTTTTTCCCCATTGATTTTTAGAGAAAGTGGGAGGGATTGGGGAGGAGGAAAGAGAGAAAGGAGAGAAAAACATTGATGTGAGAGAGACACATGGATTTGTTGCCTCCCACATGCGCCTTGGAAAGGGGGGAGGGGAGGCAAGGATAAAACCTGCAAGCACATGCCCTTGACTGGGAATCAAACCTGTAACTCTCTGGTGTTCGGGCCAATGCTCTAACCATTGGGTCACGCCAGCCAGGGCAAGAAAACAACAGGTTTTTTAAAAAAATATTTTTGATTGATTTTTAGAGAGGGAGGAAGAGAGAGGGAGAGAGAGAGAAAGAAACATTGATGTGAAGCCAAACATTAATTGGCTACCTCCTGCATGCCCCTTACCAGTGATTGAGCCCACAACCTAGACATGTGCCCTTGACTGGGAATGAAGCCAGCAACCTTTTGGTACATGAGACGACACCCAACTAACCGAGCCACACTGGCCAGGGCAGAACAGCAGTTTTAGGAGACCCCAGCAGGAGCACCTGGGAAAGCCAGGGGACAGAAACAACATGACAAAAAGGCCAAGTGGTACCAGAGAGGTGTTTTGTTTTTTTTTTAAATCTCCCAGGAAGGGTCCAGACTTAGCGGGTGTGTCCAGACTAGGATGGTATAGAACAGTGGTTGGCAAACTGTGGCTCGTGAGCCACATGTGGCTCTTTGGCCCCTTGAGTGTGGCTTTTCCACAAAATACCACGTGTGGGCTCGCACATACAGTGAAATTGAAACTTTGTGGCCAATGCGCAGAAGTCGGTTTTTGCCTCTCAAAAGAAAATTTCAATCATTGTGCTGTTGATATACTATAGAATCATGTGGCCGGGCAGTGTGTGTCACCAGCTGTTCTGTACAGGCTAGTTAACAATCACATACAATCACGTTGTTGTATAAGGTTCTCAAAACGGCCTTTTTCCTTTGGGAATTTCAAAGCTTTTCCAGTAATTTTAAACTGTTTCATTGGTTCAGCCTTTGGTTGTAATGATACTCATTATCGTGTGGATAACAGACATGGGGCCAGCCCTGAGTTCAAATCCCCGCTGTAGTAACTTAACTGCTGTGTGCCCAGGAGCTAGCTACTGGACTGCGGCGCCTGGGTTTTCTCATCTGCAGAATGAGGGCACTGACGGCGCTCCCTCCCAGGGGGTGGGAGGACTCAGGGTGAGCCTTTATGTAAAGCAGCTACTGCCGTGCACACACAGTGACGCTCAGTTAGAGCTGCTGCTTCCTGTTGCCCAGCATTTAGCACACATTATGGCACTCCAGTTCCACAGCCGGCCTGAATGGAGCCAGGAGCCCCGAGTTACAGAGGGGATCCAGCTGTATTCCAGACCACGTGATGACAGGAGGAGGGGAACTAGAGCTCCCTCTACCACCACGAACGGCACCAATTATCTCCCCCCTGCCCCCCAAAAAAGCTGGAAAACACAGGTGAGCCTTGCTAAATAAAACCCATATATAGAAATGCATTTTCTTAAACTTCAGGGGGTGATTTGAGATACAGAGCCCAGTGCTTCACTTTATAGCTTTTGTTATTCCCTGCCCCTGCTACATGCTCTATATTGGGAAGGCTGTTCTTTCCCTGTTGTGTGTTTCATTAATGTTCCCCCCATTCCCCTCTCCTCCTCCCCCCCGCCCTACTCCATTAGTCACTGAAGCATCTAAGACACTTGGAAACATCCCAGGACAAGGGAAAGCCTTCAGGTTCTAGAATTGGAAAGACCTGGCTTCAAGTACAGACTCAGCTGTGTGACCAAGAGTAAGTGACTGGGCCTCTCTGAGCCTCAGTTTGGACAGCTGTAAAGTGCGATGACCCCAGGGACTTGGTGAGACCTGGACCTAGTAAGGGCCTGGCACAAGGCACACAGTAAGTATTGGTTCTCTCCCCCCTTTCATGAGCTGCTCTCCTTGGACTGGCTTCTGGAAACCAGGCATGGCGGTTGAGTGCCTTGCCTCCCAGTCCTGCCTCCTGCCCTTGCTGATTCGATACCAAGGAGGCCTCTGGGCCTGTCAGAGCCCTCACTCTGCCAGCAAAGCCCATTAGCTTTAATTTCCTTCTGACAACTGTCTGATGGTTACATTGTGCCTTGGAATGACCAGAAAGTGGGGTCTGGATCTCTGGTTAGGTCTTCAGCCATCGGGAGCCGCTGGACTCCTGGAATAACTCCTGCTGCTCCTGGTGCATTAGGGGGATGAGACCAGGAACAGGAAGAAAGCAGAGAGTGAGCAGGCCTTCTGAGACCTCCTCTGGGTCCCCTCAGACTGGGGCAGAAACAGGACCTAGAGATTGTGATCGCAGGTTCTATGGAATCTGCAGCTGCTTCCCCTGGATCTGAGATTTTCTAAGGTGTGGCCTCATTCTGTGTGACCTTGGAGAATGCACATGGCCTCTTTGGGCCTCTCTCGATTTGTTAACCAGTAACATGGAGAAGCTACCTCTTAGGTGGTTATCAAATAAGGGCCCTCAAAACTGGTCAAGCCACAAACATTTTCTAAGCACCTACTATGTGCCTGACACTCTGCTAGCACTCTGGCACTAGGGAAACTGTCATGGGCAGGGAGTTGAGAGCACTGGGTGTGTTGATCCCAGCCCTGCCACAAATATGCTGTGTGACCTCTGACAAGAGTCTAGAGCTCTCTGAGCCACGAATGAAAACAAGGAAGGGCTGTGGGTGCTGTAAGGCACTCTATAGCCTTTTAGTTCATCACCTGCACCAATTTTTAACTAAGTGATGAAGCCTGTGTTTGACTTGGCAAGGGGGTGGTCCTGGAAACATGGTCAGCCCAGAGCTCAGAGGTCAGGCCAGGGTCTGGGTGTCAGGGAAGTATAAGTATTATCACAAAGTTCTGGAACTTCACTCTGTGGAACTAGATTGTGCACAACTGCCCTCATTGACCCAGAGGACAGTCTGTACTAGTGTCTCAGGGGGAGGCATGGAAGGGCAGTGAAAAGAACCAGAAGAATTGGGTTTCAGATCCAGCCCTACTGTGTATGAGCTGTGCGGCCTGAGGCAAGTGCTTCCTCACTCTGGGCCTTGGTTTCCACCTCTTGAAGATGAAGGTGATCACAGGCATCTGTTTGGAGGGCTCTGGAAGGCTCTCCCTGGCACACACTGGGAGCTCTATGCATGCTCCCGCTCTACCCCCTCCACCATTTGCCCTCTGAGTTCTAATCTTGCACTGAATTGGGTCACATGAGGTCACTTACTCAGCTGGCACTGTCTCAACCCCATCTCTTTCTGAATGATAGGAGCGAGGGCTCAGAAGCCAGAACGTCTCTGTCTGAGTCATGGTTCTGTGCTTCCTAGCGTGTGATGAAGCAAGTTATTTCCTATTTCAGGGCCTCGGTTTCCTGGATAATAATAGCACCTACCCACAGGGTTGTTGTGAGGATCAAATGAACCTCTACTGTAAAAGCTCTCAGCTAGTGGTAGCTATAAAAATAGTAAGAACAACTATTATGTTTTTGTGTTGCACCCTTAGCTCTGTTCAAGGCCTATTCAAATAGCCATGCACAATCTTCTTCAAAATTTTCTATACAACTTCTGCAAAGAATGCTGCTCTTGATTCATCTCCTATGGCCTATGTGAAAGTTCATCCCAGATTTCATCGTCAGGGGCATGCTATCTTCCTGCAGGACTGTTTTTCCTCCTGTTAATAATCTGAGCTATGCAAATCATCCTAACTCCCTTTCTGCCTTGGCTGCCAGGAAGCACAAAATCAAATTTATATTCCAATCATAGTAGCAAACATAGTTTATTTGCTTCCATTCCTTTTCTGTCTGGCTTTCTAGTTGACCTCAGATTACGAGACATGTCTTTATTATGCCTTTAAACCCTTTTTGGAGAAATGCCATGGAGAAAAAAAAAAAATCAACTTAGTAATATGTATAAAATTGAGGCAGTTGACCTCCACGCTCAGAGTGGAGGGAATTAAGGAGAAGAAGAATGGTTTTCTTGAGGCAAAACACCACATTCCGACCTTCTAGGAAAGAGGTTGGCAAAATTTCTCTGAAAAAGTCCAGATAGTAAATATGGCCTTGTGGACCATACACATAGTCTTTGTTGCAGCTACTTACCTCTGCCATTATAGCAGAAAAGCAGCATAGACAATATGAAAAAGAAATGGGAGTGTTCCAATAAAACATTATTTTTACACAATGAAGTAGGAATTTCATGTAAAAGCCACAAGTTACAAAATAATAGTATTTTCACTTTTCCAACCATTTGAAAATGTAAAAACCAATCTTAGTTCACGGGCCATACAAAAACAGGAAAGTGAGACCGATTTGGCTTGTGGGCTATCGTTTGTAATCTGTGTTCTAGAATATTCAGTGTATGATTTTTTTTTTTCATAGTTGCATGCCTCACGGAATGAGTGACTTGGGGTTCTGAGGAGAAGCCCAGCTTTGGAGCTGAAGGAGGGTCCCCTAGAGGATGGAGTATTCCTAGGGCAGGGGACCTGAGAGGGATCTCTGTGAATGGGCTAAAGCACTGTAAGATCAAAAAGCGTGAATGCAGCCCACCAGGAAGGCAATTTGGGGGCTTTGTCATCAGATGTGAGAGTGGGGAGCTCTCAGAGAGCAGTCTGGACGTACATCCGGAGCCACCTTCACTTGGATTCCATCCAGTAAAACCAGACTCTCTCAGAGAGGGACCTGGCAGCAGTTTTTCTAAGCTCCACTACAAAACCTAAAAACACTTAATTAGCTGGGTGACCTTGATCAAGTTAATGAACTTCTCTGTGCCTTGGTTCCATGTCTTTAAAATGAGGATAATCATGCACTACCTTATGGGGGCTGTTAGGAGGACATTTCAGCACAAATATTGGCATGCTGTAAGTGCTCAATAAATGATCATTATAATCATTACTACCCTGTTTCCCCGAAAATAAGACAGTGTCTTATATTAATTTTTGCTCCCAAAGATGTGCTAGGTCTTATTTTCAGGGGATGTCTTATTTTTCCATGAAGAAGAATACGATACACATTTATTGTTAAATAAAAATAAAGGAAATTTATTACCTGTATATGGTATGGTAGTACGGTAGTTGTCAACACAAACCAAACAAACTGTGAATCCTACAGTATCAAGAATTTACTCATTTATTCAATGACAATCATGTCATCATCTTCTGGAACGTCATCATAACAATCCAATTCCTGAATTTCCTGGTGAATTTCTTGTGACTCCATGTCTTTCAGAATCAGTGGACCAAATCTCTCATGTTTAGCCTAGGGGGGGGGGGCTTATTTTCGGGGATGCTTTATATTTCACTCAGAAGGAAACCTGTAAGTAGGTCTTATTTTCGGATGTCTTATTTTCGGGGAAACACGGTATTGTTGGTCCAGCTCTTGCATTTCACACTTGGGAACACTAGGGGGAGGCTCTGAGCCTGGGTTTTGGCTCAGCCACTGATTGGCTGGGGGTGAGACTCAGCCCCTTGGGCCTTGGTTTCCTCACCTGGAAGGAGAAGTGCCTGTTAGCCCGGAATGCCCTCTGGTGTGGCTGGGCACACATGTTGCAGGGAGGGGGGCAGGGGTCCCCCTGTCTTACCTTCTTGGCTCTCGCCAGGCGGGTGGTAGAAGGAGAGCCCCAGGGAGATGATGGCCGCAATTTCCAGGATGATCAGTGTCACATCTTGCAGAGCTTCCCACACGAGCTGCAGGAAGGTTTTTGGCTTCTTTGGAGGTATAAAGTTTTGTCCAAAAATCTGCTTTCTCTTTTCTAGGTCTGGAGCTGTGCCTGGCAAACCTGTGGACAGAGTACAGAGAGGTTGGCCTGGAGGGCCCAGGAGAGACACACACATTCCCGGAATTGTCCCAAGTAGGTCTGGCCACATGGCAAAGAACACAGAGAGGAAAAAACAAAGCAGGAAACTTGCAGGCACCAGCCTAGAGCCCAGCACTCCCCAGAACCTGTGAATGTGACCTTATTTGGGAGAATGGTCTTTGCGGATGAAACCAAGGATTTTGAGATGACATCACCCTGGACTATCCAGATAGGCCCTAACCCAATGACAAGTGTCCTTGTAAGAGACAGAAGAGAAGACACAGACACAGAGGGAAGAAAGCCACATGGAGATGGAGGGGAGATTGTAGTGATGCAGTCACAAGCCAGGGAAAGCCCAGAGCCAACAGAAGCTGGAAGAATCAAGGAATGGAATGTAACCTTGACTTTAGACTTTTGGCCTCCAGAACAGTGAGAGAACCCATTTCTTTTATTCAAAACCACTGGTTTATGGTCATTCGTTACAGGAAGCGAATACCCAGCATCATGCCCACCTTGCACCCACACCCTTGCTCCTGCTTTGCACTTGCCTGCCCTGTTTGACACAGACTAGGAAGCTCCTGCCTGGGTTAGAATCCCAGACTGCGTGGGAGGGTGAGTGTACCTAACCCATGGGTGCTTGTGAGCGTCTCATGAGATAATTCATGCAGTCATCGAGTGTTTGCTGAGCACCTACTATGTGCCTGGCACTGTTCTGGACACCGGCATAGAGTGGCAAAAAGGACAGACAGAGTGCCTGCCCCAAAGAGCTGATAACCCAAGGATACACATGACGTGCTCAAGTGGTGCCTGGAGGGGAGGGGTGGATGGCCCCACCTCCCCTCAGGTGCATTTGTGCCTTAGAAGAGGAGCATGCAACAGAAACCTCTCACAGTGGAAATTCAGGGGTGGGACAGACAAAGGCAGATCCTGTGGGAGGGGCCAGCGTGCTTCCCCTTGCTTCTTTCTTTCCTTTGCTGCTATCCTGGGTCACCCCAAGTCACTGTTGCCATTTCATTTTTCCCTAACCAGTGCCCTGGTACACTTCCTGCCTTGCTCATGCTGAGCTAGGAAGAGCCTTTCCTCCCATCTACACTGGCGAGCCCCTTCTCAGGGCTCTCTGATGAGAAGACCACCCCTCTACCCCGGGCAGGCCGAATCTCCCTGCCATCATCTAGCATGGCCTTGACCACAGCAGAGCTTACCTGTGTTCCAACACGTGTACAACCTGTGCCTTGTTGAAAAGACCAGTCTGATTCTTCTAGAGCCTGCACTCGAGGCCACCAACCACCCACTGGACACAGGTGACATGCTCGAGTATTAGGAGCCTGCCCTGAGGTGTCATCATGGAAAACACAGCAGGAATGGTCCCCTGCAGCAGAGCAATGTCAGTCCTGTCCCTGAGGCCAGCCAAACCCCTGCTCACCTGTGATTTAATGAAGACAGCTGAGGGATGGACAAGGGGGGGGGGGCGGGAAAGGGCACAGACCTCATCAGACCTCTGGCCTCAGTCAACTTGTGAGAAGGGGGATCCAGAGGGATCACCCAAACAGTACCATTATTAGAAGGTTGGGGTCAGAGCAATGGAACATTCTGCTGTTACAGTTAAGAGAGCATGTGGTCTAATGCCACATTGGTAGGGGATTCTAACAACCTGCCATTTGTTGGCTCATTCATCCATTTGTTCACTCAATGCATGTTTCTTGAACCTCCACTGTGGGTGCAATCTGGTGCCGGTGCTGGGGAGAGTGATGTAAAGAAAGCTCAGTGGTCCTGGGTGGCAGCAGTCTGTGGCTCAGGGATACAGGGAGATGGGCATGTCCCTGTCTGGGGTTTAGGTGCTGAGCCTCCTCCGATGTTGTCAATGAGACCTCTGTTGGGAGCTTCCAAGAGCCAGACTGGCTGAGACCCTGTGGGATAGGCTGGGATGGCTCTTGCATCCTGCCTTGCCTAGTAGTGGGGATAAGCTCTGGATAGCCAATGACCTGCCTGTGCACTGAGAATGAGGGATCTCAGAGCTGGGTTATGACCATTTCATAGGTGGGGAGACTGAGGCCTTCATGAGACCAAAGCTGCTGCCTTGGGGCTGAGAACCCAGCCCAGCCCTGTTCTAGTCACACATGACATAGAGTGATTCTAGGAACTGCGGGAAGGTTCCTCGTTTTTCCTCCTTTGCCTAATTCTATCCACAGCCAATGTCTGCAATTTTTCTATGGGCTTCATTTATTTAACTAGAAGCTCTAGTTCCTTTAGATTCCCTGAGAGGCAAAAGCCACCATGAGTTTTGATCAACGGAAGAAGAGAGAATTCAAGAGGGTGGGTAGGCCTCTGTGGAAGGGAGGGGGCTATGATCAGTCAACATTAGCCTATTTGCTATGCCTGTGGCCAACCAGTTCCTTTCTCTGAGACTCAGTTTCCCCATCTTGACAAGAGGGGAGTTCAATAGAAGGATCCAGGATTCCAAGGTCTTCAGGCCCTGAAGTGGTCCTGCTGGGTTCTGTTGGTATTTTGGGGTTCCTCATAAGGTTTGATGTAAATAAAGAGCTTCACTAAGAAGTTTGGTGGGGGTGTGGCCAGCTCATCTCCTGGGCCCCTCCTGATTGACACAGAGAGAGGTGAGTTGCTGAATCTTCTGACGGTCTGTGATTCAAATGTTCTGGAATCTGCAGTGTGACCAGTTGAAAATGTGGATGTTCTCTAGTTCAGGGAATCTGGCCATGGCTCAGGGGTTCTGCCACATGGGATTCACAGGCCCAGCATTGAGATGTTGGGTCCTAGGACAGAGCAGAGGCCAAGGGTTGAAAATTCGAATAGCTGTGAGGGCCAGGTAGGCTTTATGAATGAGTGAAGTAGATGGATGGGAGACAACAGAGAGTGGTGGGGACTGGGACAAAGAGAAGAACCTCAGATCTTCTAAAGAAAACAGTTATTTCTCAGCTCCTGTGGGAGAAGATGGGCCCCGTATGGAAGATCTTCTAATCTAAAATAATCTGGACACGTGGAATTTGATGTAAAATCTTCCCAGTAAAATCATTCCCTAGGCCAGATATAACACATCCATAGCCGAATTAGGCCCTGGGATTGAGTTTGAGACCCCAAGGTTAGGAAAGGGGAGGAGGCTGGAAGGGGGAGGGAAAAGAGCAGACCAGCCTCTCTGTCACTTCCTCTTCTCTCCTGAGTTGCTCTCTCCCCAGCATCAGGCCCTGCCCTGCTCTTCACAAGCTTCTGTGAGCCCCTCTGTTTTTCAGAAACAACAGCTCACAGAATAAAAATATTTGGTGTTCTGCTAGGGCTGTTTCCGTGGTAGAAATTGTTAGGCAGTTTCCACAACAACCAACACCCCAGTATGCAAATCCAAGATGGGAGCCTCAAGTGCTAAGGCTCATGTAGGGCAGTTGAAAGGGCAGATGGTGGCTATGACCTCTCACTCACCTCTCTTTCTCAGGGGAAGGTAGGTTGAGCTGTAGCTTGGGATAACAATTCCCTGCTGTTGCCCACATTTTACAGGTGGGGAAACTGAGGCACTAAGAGTCACTTAACCAGAGTCACTCAACGGGGATTTGAACCCATGCCATCTGAGTCCAAACCCCACCCCAGAGTGGAATCACATAGTCCCCCTGCCTTCTGGCTGAAAAGGAACATGCAGAAATAAACAAGGCTGGTGTGAGAGATGAATGGTATTGGAGATTCAAGTGAGATTAGAAAGCACCTCACCATTTAGCACATTAAAAATTAATACACGGTGTCAAATATTGCTAGAAAAGACCAGCCAGGCCCTGAAAATTCAGAAACTACAAATGCTTGGAAATTGATATCGGACGCTGTGTGGGGTTGTGGGTTTTCAATGTGAGTTTCTTTTTGTACAAGAGGTAGAGGTTTGTGGATGAACTTGGGCCAGTTGCTTCAGAGACTCAGTTTTGTCATCAATAATATAACTCCTAGACTGTGGTGAGCTATTCAGAGGGGAATGTGAGTGAATGGTCTCTAAACGGCAAAGATGCAGTAAGCGCCTTCACAATAAAAAATATTCCAGCATCCAGAGTCAGAACTTGTGTGTTCTATTTGTTACATAAAAGGAGAAAGCCAAGTGCAGAGTGCGGGGGACTTAAGTTGTAAAGGAATTATTTGTTGTAATGGCTGCTGGCTACTGTTGGATATTTGAGGAATCCTTGTCCCAGAGTTCATCTCTATCCAGCTGACCTGACATAAACGGTATTTTTTTTTTTTTTTTTTAAGCCTTTAAGCCTTTGCCTCTGCCAGTTTCCCAATTTCTCTGCTTGGAAGGCATCCTTTCTCTTCTTAGCCATTTTGGATCCAGCCTTGAGTGCTACAAATGGTAGCCTCAGGCCACCAGAGAGGTTTTGTTTGGTTGGCACGATGCTTTAAACAAATGGAAATTGGTCACAAACATTAAAACTCAGGCTATTCCACATAAACATCCCTGCATCTGGCTCCAATGCAGGTGCATAGACCTCAGGGAGCTGGAAATTGTGAAAGTTCTCTGACCTGAACATTGATCCTACCTTGGCTCTGGGGACATGTTTCCAGTTAAGGAAAGCTGAGGGGCAGGGGGAAAGGGGGGGGCGCCGGAAAGACAGGGAGTGCTGGCTTAGGTTCTTCTGGGGGCAGAAGGTTCCTCCTACTAGGCGATCTGAAGGTGGATGGGCGCTGTAGGGAAGAAGGAAAGGGAGAGTGCATGCAGACGCTGGACTACTGGCCATGGGTGTCCTGGCACCAGATGGAGGGCCCAGTGCATGGGAGCCTCTTACTTAAGGAAGCCAGATTTCCTCCTTCTCCTCCCCCTCTATTCAGCCCCTCTCAAAGTAGAGAAAATAGTTAGGGTTGTATTGGATGGTATACATCTGATCATCACTGCTCATTTATTTATTTTTTATATTTTTAAAATATATTTTATTGATTTTGTACAGAGAGGAAGGGAGAGAGATAGAGAGTTAGAAACATCGATGACGGAGAGTCATCAATGA